TAGTTTTATAAATTTATTTATTACAGAGCGATATATTTTGTTTTTGCGATTTTAACTTTTTTAAATATTAAAAATTTTTATTTCTTTATTTTAATTCTTTTTTATAAAATATCAAAAATATATTTATCTGGAAAAAAATCAAGGTAAATATATTATTTATATTTACATAGGGAGTCAAAAAGTTCTGAAACCTATAGTCTGTCCAAAAAGTTCGTGCGTGTGACTGTTTGTTGAATAACTTAAGAACAGAACTAGTTAGAGACCTGCGATTTTCACCAGCTGAAGGAAGTGATATGGAGACATCTTTTTCTCTGATATTGTATAAGACAAATTTATTTTAAAATCAATCATTTTCTCACAACATTGGAAAATATGCGTGATAACAGTCTATTATTTTGATGAGATTTTGGTTTTAATATGTGATCTAAATAGAGGGACTTTAGATCTATAGCTTAAGATATAATTTAAATGATTATCTTCATATCTCCTAATATTAAGCAAATGCAATTCTCTATTTGCTTCCTGAAGTTTCTTAGTTTTTGTTAAAAATTTCATCTGAACGACAGAAGATTTCCGTACATTTTTTTGATATTTTGTAAAAAGAGTTGATTTTAAAATGAATTTGTCGTATACAATATCGAAGAAAAAGACGTACCCATTTCACCTCTTTCGACTGATGAAAACCGCAGATCTCTAGCTGTTTGTGTTCTTGAGTTATTCAACAAACAGTCACACGCTCAGACTTTTTGGCCAGACTATAGTAATATTTCTTCAACAAGAAACACATTATATTTATTTATCTATATCGAACGTTAAAAGACACTCATGTAATGAAAACCAGAGAAAAATCTCCGATTTTATCGGTCCGGTTACCGACACCGTTTGATTCTTTGTTTCGTTAATATTTGTACTGAAATTTAACAGTTATTTTTCAATTAATCTAATTTTTATTCTAACCAAAAATAAAAATACAAGCTAACGCAAAAAAAAAAAACACATTAAATCTTAAAACATAAATATAAAAAATTATTAATTCTCAATTGAACCTCGTTATTGTTATATTGATTGTTTTCTCTAAGCAAGCAACCGAAATAAGTGATGTGACAGACACGCACATATATTTATTTATTTTTCGTTCTACAGCTATTTGTTTTGTGTAGTTCATCGGTAAAATTGATCGGTTTTTATGACATGTGAAGTGTCATTTGGTTTCCATTTCATAAAATAAAAACTAATGAACCTATGACTCTCCCTTTTTATATGAATCATATGATATTATTTTATTTTTATCAAGAAAAGAAAAAATACTATTTTAGCTAACAAGAAGTTTTGTTAAATTTGTAAAGATTTTATTCTTAATATAGTCTTCTTCATCTGAATTAAATTCATGAGAACAATTAGTAATTATTAAAAGTTTTATTTGTTTACGAATTGATAATAATTCATCATCGTATCTTAATTTATGTTTGTAAGAAATAATATTATTATAATCAACAATTAATATTTCAATATATGGTGTTAATAATAGTAAACGTTTGATATGATAATAATTTCTTTCATCTTTATAATTTAATATTAATTTTCGTATTTTATTTAATATTAATGTTTTATCATTCATCAAATTTTTATTCAATTTACCTAATTCAATTTCCATTGTAAATAAATTTGGAAATTGATCATTTATAAATTGAATTAGTTTTGGATTTAATTGATCTTTACTATAAGATATTTCAATATGTTCAACTGTTGGAAATAATAGAATATCTTTTGTATTATTTAAATTTTGATAAACAATATTATTTGATATATTTGATAATTGTTTAAATCTATAAGGTAATGATAGAAATGAATAATAATAATAATCATCATCTTTATACCATATAAGTCGATTATTATTAAATTCATTTTGTATTATTTGAGATGTTAAATGTAATTGATGAAATCGTATATAAAAAGAAAATTTTTTTAAATTTGGTAATTTTTCAAGAATTTCATTTTCTGTATATTTTTCATTCATAGAATTTATTTTAAGTTTAAATATTTCTAATAATGTTGATTGTTTAAGTTGATTTAAAAAATAATTTAAATCATTACGTTTAATATATTTACATTCAAAATAACATTTAATTAATTTTGATAATAAAAAATTTGATTTATTTTCATTTGTATGATTTTCTTCATTGACAATTTTACCATAGAAATATTTTAATGATCGAAGAGTATTTAATAAATAAATTAAATCATCTAGATGAATTAAATAAATAGTTAAATTTTGTAAACAATAATTAATTATTTCGAAATTATTAAAACCTAAATATAAAGGAAAATTTCGTATTAAAGTAAAACTTTGTAATAATGAATCTTCTTCAAATAATGATGCAATAATTATACGTATAAGATAAGGATCGGAAAATAATTTATATTCATTTTCATTTTCATTTAAATTTAAATATTTTAGTTGTTTGAGAAATTTTAAATATTTTAAACATTTAGTTAAAGGTAAAAATTGAATATTTGTTATAAATAATGAGTTAAGTTTTGGATAAGAATTTAATGACTGAAATATTTTGTCGATTTGTTTATCATCTATATTAATAATTTCTATTTTTGATGATAAATTTGAAACATATTTAAAAAACCAATCTTCTGATATTTGTGTTAAATCAATATTTGTATTTATAGTAAAATATGAAATAACAATTTGTTGAAAAGAATAATTTAAATTGAAAAATATTTTAATTATTACATGTTGTGGAAAATAAGGAAATAGATGATAAATAAATAATTCAACTGGTAAATCTTCACTAAATAGATAAATAAAATAAATTTACATTGTTTGTTTCAGAGAAGCAAAAAAACTTATCGAAAAATTTTCTGTTGATTAAGTCCGAGATCGACCTGATGGATGCTACTCTAAAAGTGTGAGTTAATTGTAACTCGATTCTTATAAGATTACAATCATCTTCAAGAATAATGTTCGCTAGTATTTTTATTCAGTGCGGTGCTTTGCAATTTCTGAGACTGATTTTAACCATCGAAATTTGAAGTTTTTGTGCCTGATACTACACATACCCTCCTTGACTCGAGACAGTTTTCGTGTTCTCATAAAAAATCTGATTAAAAGACTGAGATTCAGATCGAAATTTATAAATTAGACTAGGCGAAACTCAATGAATCTCGATTAATAACAACAATGATGGCAGAATTTTTCTAAGTACCAGGTGGGCCAAAATTAACGATACAACAAAAAAAAATTGAATATTTCCCTTACGGCTCGAGCAAATGGGCTGACTTTTTTTATTAATGATAGAAGTATGTTCAAGCTTTATATCTATAAAGACATGCCTAGAGTAAAGTAGCTCTCTAGGCGTGTCTTTATGGATATAAGACTTGAACATACTTCTATCATTGATAAAAAAATCAACTCGTTTGCTTGAACCGTAAGGAAGATATTCAATTTTTTTTGTTGTATTGTTACGTTTGGCCCACTCGGTTTTTCTTCCATAATTTGAGAACAATATCGAGGAAATCTATTCTTTTCTATGACCGCGTCATTTCGCAGACTGTCCTGAATCGATACATAAGATTAAATCAAGCTTTATTCCTTTAGATAACGTCAGTCGACCGTGACTAGTCTCTGCTGATAATATAGAGCAGTCTTAAACTTCTACTGTAAGGTTTCAATCTAATATTTTAACTAGAAAATAGAATCAGATTGCAATTATTTTCATTTATAATGAGCACCCATATCGTAAATACCAGACAGTTTTTAGCGTTAAACCGCAGTAAATTGCAGTAACTGGATCGATAAAATCACGGTAAACCGGCGGTTTTTCCAAGTATTTTTATGACATGTGAAGGTGCAAGAAAAAAACATATAAAATAGCAAAATCAATGATTTAGAGCAACTAAATGTCAATGATCAGCGGCGAACCGGTTTATTCTAGCGGTAAATTGTAGTGACGAGAGCCGGTAACCGGACTCGTAAAATCGCAGTTAACCGCCGGTTTTTATCGCATGGATATTTTATACAAAAAAAACCTAAAACTTACAGTTTTAATAACTTTGTATAATCATTATTCTTGATTGTTGAAGGATCTGTTTTGAATTTTTTTGAATTAGATGCAAAATCTAAATACAGAATACTGTTCAAGCATAATTGGTTTTTTTTTGGATAAGTTTACTTACTCTCATTATGGTGTTTGATTTTATTTATCGGAGTAATAGAATCATATTCTTTATTTTCCATTTTTTTTTATTATCACTGATAACCAAACAAATCAAAAACAATTATATTTGAATATCGAAAGAATGAAGATTGAGTTAATATATTACATTTGTCTTGTACAATCAAATAACGATATGATGAAAGAAATTTCGCAATCATAAAGAAAGAATTACAAATGGCAAATGAAACTCACGTGGTTGAAATAGAAGAAAATAAATATCGTAGTATAATATTTATCTATGTGAAGAATGAAAAAATTTTTTGTTTTCTGTCACATAAAATAAATAAAACACATCTGTCAAAAAAAGCTGAAAATTATTACACACATTCATTATCAATTTGGTTCTATTAATAAACTGAATAAAGATTTTATATTTAAAACTAATTAAGAAAAACTACAACTGTATATTAAATAAATCAAAAATAATGATTTATATTTATTTTTTTCTATTTAATTTTTACCCAAGCTGCAACTCGATGGATGTTTCGATACATCGATCCAAGCTATTCGATTGGTCGATAAAATTGAAAATTGTTGATCCATCGCCTACCACTCAATCTATCGAAAAGCAGCACTTCGATGTTCATCAAAGGACCTTTCTCAATGGATACCAATGAGTAGTTTTTGCAGAATAGAAAATTCGAACATATGTACTTACGATTACAAAGCTTCAATAGATCTGATGAACTAGAAATCTATATGTCGTGACAAAATATATGTAACTTCAATGTTTTTAAATTAATCTTTAAAAGATTAATTTATCTCTTTATTTTTTCAACTTTCTTTTTTATTATATTACTATTGTCGATAATTGACAATTTGAATAAATGAAAGAAATAATAGAACCAGAACAATAAGAAATCGGACTGAACTATTCTTTTTAAGTTTTGAATTTTTGAGGGGGTATCTGCATATGTAATCAATCCTGTTCCTACATTCACATTCTGACGTAATTTAAGGACATAAGTGTGACAAGCTAAAATTGAATCAAATTCCTGACAATAATACCAAACATTTCCGAGAAGAGTCAGAGTCTCACGTACATCTTCATCAGTCTGTAAATACATAAAAAGTAGTCATATATAGAGTGAAATAATAGGATTTTCTATATGATTAACATACTTTTTGTTGAATATTAAATGTTTCTGTATGACATTCTAATGCATGATTATAGTCATCTTTCTTTTCGATATGCAATGATAGCTTGATCGATTTTCAAGTTTTTCACATACTTTTGAGCTTGTAATTCATCGGTACAGATCGTTGATCGTCTACAAAAATTCATTTACAATTTAGTTTTCGAGAAAAAATTTGTATAGATTTATGTATTTGGAGTTTTGATTAAGCTCGAGAAGAGATAAAACAATACTGAATTCTATAGTTAGTGTTGATTTTAAATGTGACGGAGAAGGAATGAACAATTGATCAAGACATGTCTCAATTTCACAATTGACAGATATGTTTGTATTGAGCGCAGTGACACGATGTATTGTCATGATAGATGATTCTTCGGTGAATGTGTTACATGAAGAAGAAACTGTTAATGGTTGATAAGTCTTGTCTCTGCTCATTTTCAATGACGACATTACACTTCAGACAATTGTTGACAACCAATTTCTATTGATGAGATCTTTCACTACTCAAACAATACAATTTGATTATTGAAAACGTTCGTTCGAAACGAAACATATTCAGGTCTAGTTGCACTACTTACTTGTTTTGTTCACAATATGTGTGATCGTTGATAGGCAAAAATAAAAAAGAAAATGTCATTAACACTGACAGTATTATATACCATTTTCTCTTTCGAAAACAAAAAAAAAAGGATCGTCTATTGATTGTATGTCCTAAAATAACAATATCGGCATTGATTTTGAGTCAAACAAAATTGTCTTTGAAAAGTTACGAGATTTAAATTATTGAATCAATTTTCTTCAACATTAATTCATTTGATAATTATACTGTCGTTCTATCATTTCTAGGCAGCTCATCGATCTGGTTTTGTAGATTTAGGGATGAATTATAGATTGAATGAGGAAAAGAAGAATGATACTCTATATTTATTTTACTTCGTTCTTATTACTAGTTTGTGAGTCATATCATTATTATGAATTTGATTGAACTACAAGAGAGAGAGAACGATCGCATATCAATTATCATGTAGAGAAAAGGAAGAGAAATATAAAACACAATTGATAGTTATTTTTATTTTTTATAATATTCAATCAATCAAAATATGATATTGTATATTGTTCTCTTCCATATCGTAATATTCATTCTGTCGTTGACAATATTCTAGTTACTATTGCGAACAATACTGTCACTATTCGGAGAAAAAGGAGAAAAAAGAGAACAAAAACAAAGAGATTAATTTGTTTTCAACAATTCGATAGTGTCAAATATTGAAAAAATAAAATTTGTAATTCCATCATAGATAAAACAATATCAGCTCAAAAGAAAAAAAGCTTTTAGATTTCAAAGTGTGTGTGTGTGTGTATGTTGTACACTTCAATAATCCACAGGAGTTTATTGAAAATGAAATTGAAATAATAGAACAAATTACTAACAACAGAACTCTACGACACAAAATAATGTTGAACAAAGGAATAACTTTCCAATATATTCTAAATATTAAGTATTTTCTGTATATTAATAAGACAGAATATATTTGTACATTTCTAAAGCATATCGGCAAAATCAGGCAGAATAGGACATTTGCACCTTTCATTTGAGACTGATTCGCTATAAGAGTGAATTTTTTGAATAAATTCTTTTGGCATAGGCTTATGTGAAAATGTTTGGTCTTTCACATGGTTATTAATTAATTAATTAATTAAAAAGTAATTAGCGAATATCTCGCTAACCATATGAGAAAAAAATCTGAAAACTTCAGGATAGGATCTAGGGCACAAGCTGCGCCTATGGTAAAATTTTCAGCAAGATTGGACTCCGAAAAATTTCTTCCGAAAAACCGGTTTTTCAGAGACCCTGAAAAGTGAAGAAGCGAAAACTTTTCTCTTATCCTCATTTAGGGATTTTGAGTAATGATTTGTAACGTTCGAAGTCGATTTTGAACTTTTCAGTTGGTTACAAGAATATCATCTCGATTATGTAGTCGCACTGTGTCACGTCGCTAACGACAGATAAATCGGTTTTTTTGAAAAATCTAGGCATACTTAGAAAAATTTTGGATATAGACTTTATAGCCTTAGAAGTCGTCTACGAAATACCCTATTTAGTTTTCTAAAATTGTGCATGAATTGGGAGTTATTAAAAACTAAAATACACGAAGTGGAAATCGATGTCCTTTTTTGTGTCACGTCGCTAACGGTAGTTTTTTACCAGTAACTCCTGTAAACAAAGCTCCATAGCGCTAATTTTTTTAGGGTATCTAGAGTAACTTAATGTACATACAAAATATAAAAAATCAGATCTAAGAGAGCTCATTATCTCGAGATACACATATTTTAATTTTTCGAAGTCACGTCGCTAACAAATGATTTTGCCCATATGACAGATGATTAAGAGAATTATAAAAATTATTTTTATTGCTTTTACTTCAAGACAGAACAATTATGATTTTTTCTTCAAAACGTTGCTGTATGTCAGTTTTCGTAATATAGCCACACTTTTAAAGCATGAACATTTTTCTAGTGTCTGAAATTACGCAAAATATACATTAGAGTTCAAAAGTTATAACTATATTATACTCTCAGAATTTAGATTTAACTTTCAACATACAATAAATTTGTTCTATATCCGCTAAAATAATTCATATAATGAGTACTATAGTATTCTATTCAAAAACAAGGCAGCATTATAGTTGTTTATGGTGGCACATATGATTGTTTTTGTAATTGTTAATCTATTCGAAAGCTAGTATAATGCCACCGGATTCTTGGTTTATCTCATATTTTTCATTGAACATTCAAGTATGATATTTTTTGTGCAGGTCTTAGTTTTCTTGTTAAATTCATTTCCATTAATCTAATTTCTAGTTTATTAGATAGAGCAAAGTGTTTACTTTCGAATACACTAATGATTAATTTTTTGGCCTTTAAGAAAAAATTTTAGTATTAATTGAACCATATTGATGCTTTATTGACCGTTCTTATCTAACGTTTTGAAATTTTCTTTTAAAGATTGGTTACTTTTTATCATATTCTATGATATCAAGTATTTAATTCAAAGCCAAATAGTCATTTGAATAGTCCAGACATTTCGTATCGAAATTTTATAGACGGACTATGAGAAAAAGGTTTTTGAAAAATCCAAAAGGTAATTTTTAGGTCCTAGAAACCTGTGTACGATCTTAAAGAGCGCAAAAACCTTGAGGGATAGGAAAGTTTTCTATCACCTTACCTTAAAAAGTTATAAGCATAATAAAAATACGTTGTTTAGTAACATTATGATAAATTTCACTTTTTCTTTATGCTTATAATTTTTTTCAGGAAAGGTCAAAGGAAATTCTTTAAGATAGTACTCTTAAAACACTGATTTTTATAATCATTTGGGATCTGAAAATTTACCTTTGGATTTTTCGAAAAAAATCTTCCTCTCATTGTCTCTCTATGACACTTCGATATGAAACGATATTTGATAGAAAACTTCATTGGCTATTCAAATGCATCGATCTCTATTGATAATGAAAAAATCAGACCGAATAGAAAAAAACAAAAAAAAGTGAGAAATAATCAAAAAATGAAATAGTTTGTTTTAGTACAGTCATCATAGTACCGGTCTAATAAGAATTCATAATCAATTTCAATTTCATATTGATAATACTACTTTTGGACTAAATAAACGTTGATAACATTCTAAAAAAAAATAAAAAAAAGGAACCAACAAACAAATATAATTCAACAAATTTTATTATTTTTACTCTTATCATAAATTTCTCCATCATGTTCAGAATAATGAGCACCACTTATAGTTCCTTTACAATGTGCACAAGTATAACATTGTTTATGGAATGACTACAAAATCAAAGAAAAAAAAAAAACATACAATTAAAAATTTTATTTTGTTTTACTTTGCCAATAGCTTTAATTTCTTCAGCTTGATAAACCGTTTTTGAACAACGTGGACAAATATTTCCTGATATTGACATTATTTTAAATGCATTATCATTTATAACATTTCTTGATGTTGATCGATTAGTGTTCGATGTTGTTATGCCATTCATCATAGTACTTTTCAGATTTCTATGATGTAAATCATCATCATCATATGACTCATAAGATGGTGATGAATATATTACTGTTTGCCGTTGATAATATTCATTATTAAAATCAGTTTCTTCTTCTTGATTTAATCTCGGACTACTAGGTGGTGAATCCAAATCCGATGGAAATGATGTTGCAAAATGACGAGAAACTTAATAAAAATAACGGTGATTTTTATTTTTTTTTGTTCGTATTAAATAAATTCTTACCCATTCGTGGACCAAATTCACGACTGTAACAACCTGTACAATAAAGTTTTTGATTACGTTCATTTAAACTAAGTGAATTGAGTAATACATGGCATATACCTAAAGAAAAATGTTAGATAAATATTTTAAATAATGAGAAAATATTTTACTGCATTTAAAACAAAATTTATGAAATTTTTGTCCGCCACCCATTATTTCTTCAGCTGGATAAACAGTTTTATTACAAAATGCACATAATGGTGTTGAAACTGATGCTTGCCATTTTCCTGCTTTATAATCAGATTTTTCATTATTTGTTCTAGATTGAAAACTATTTCTATTTGATGCCATAATCTATAAAAAAAAAAACTTTTTTTAGAAAAAATTAAAACTTACAGGTGATATCTTGTGATTTGAATTAATACGTTTAGGTTCTATGTATATCGATATAAATGATAACTTTTTCTGTTCTTGTTCGTTACCGCATGATCATGTCATACATATAAACAGTCAGCTGTAAGATTTACTGTATGGGAAAGATATTTCATTATATCGATTTGTCCATTCTACTTTTTCTATTTAACTCGTCATAGTTTTTAATTTTCTTCACGTAATATCCCATATAAATGAAGAAAAAAAAAGTCAATACAAAACAAAAGAATTATTCATTCGTCATGTAATATCTCATCAAAATAGGATAAATCCATTTTTTTTCTAACAAGTCAATATAAATAATCATTCAAGGAAACAAAAAATATCCAAAAATCTACTGTATAAAAACATTATTATACGAGAAATATACAAGCAAATAGAGTGAATGTATACCTTTTAATGTATGCGACTGATTTAATTTTATGTAACCGAAAGAGAAAAAAAATCAACATAATTGACGATGATCAAACAAGAAATCGATAAAATCAACAAAAAAATAACAAGTTATACAAGGTCAATGTCTATGTACGTATTTTCAAAATCGATTTACTACCGAGAATATTATTCATACAAGAAAAAGAATAAACTACTGCTATAATATTATCGAACAAATAAACTCTATCAATGGTGAGTAAGTATTTTCCTTTTTTTCTTTATTCAAAAATTGAAAATTTTGGACTAATAAATTTAATTAATTTTAAAAAAAATTGTCGTAAATTTAAAGTAATTAAACGAAGTTCATGATATTGTTGTTTGTCAATATTATATAATATTAATATTGAATCTTCAAATGTATAATTTTGTAAAAAATTTTTATATGCTAATTGTCGTTTTACTCGATAATTATTTAATTGAATTAAATATTTCATAGATTTTTGTATAAGAGAATTTATTTCATTATTTTTATATGAAAATATAAGAATTTGTTGTGCAAATTCAAGAAATTCATAAATATATTTACGTATTAATTGTCGAAATTTAATTAAATAATTATTTTGATCAATTGCAATTGGATATAATTGATTTTCATTCCATAGAATAGAATTTAATGTTCCTTGTTGAATTTGTTCAATATTTATTTGTAATAATGGATAATCATCAAGTATTTGACAAAGATTAGCTAATGTTTTAATTATTTTTGGCATTTGTTCAAATATATTATTTATAATACGATGTTCAAATGAATCAATAAATGATATTGATGATAAAGATGAATGTATAGTTCGATTATTTATTTGAGAATTATTATGGCAATAAGTTTCAGAAAAATTTTTATTAAGTATAAATGACATTTTATTAAAAATATAAGAAAATGAAAAATATTTCAAAGCGCCCATTAATATTAAATATTTTTTAATCGAGATATATAACAATTGTACGAAAAGTACAAAAGTCGTTGTATTTTTTATTATTTCGTATAGAAACATAATTTTTGTGTGTGTTCCATCTCAGTCAAAAAAATGAAAAATGTTTCATTTTATAGAGAATTGTTTGCTCTATCATTCTGAATAATTCAAATAGAATTTTAATTTGAGTTAGTTGAAAATAAATCTGATCGAAATACAACGTACACTTTAATACAAATTTCTGTTTGTTTTAGATAGAACTTGACGATTTCTTTTCATAGTCTCTAAGAGTGTGTGTGAGACTAACCTTATAATTAGTCTCATACAAACTCAGTTTTACAACCTGCATGAAACGAAAATTTTTTTTAAATCGAAAAAAAAATCGATTAGTTTTTTAGTATGAAAAATGTGCTTTTAGAAAAAATAAATGAATATTTGCTTCAATAAACATTGTTATTATGTTACTAGCTCATTGCATTTGAATGAAACGTGATGTTTCGGCACATTCTCTTAACGTTTAGTTTTTCACGAATAGATTTTCGATAGTCATTTATTGACATCAATACATTGCGCCATCTTTCACTAAAATATTACAACAGAATATCTTTGAAAAAAAAAGAAACCTGTTTTAATAATAAACACTCTCATACTTTATTTTTCTTTCCTGTAAATGTTGTCAGCACTCTATTATCATAAGGAAATTTAGCGTTTTTTTTTCTACGATTTCTTACATTTAATAAAACAATACTACTTATCGAATATAAATAATTTTCTTATGAATGATACAAATTATGTTAATAATAACAAAAAAAAATCCTTCATGGAATAATGTTTTCATATTTAGATGATTAAAAATATATTTATTCTTACTATTCTTATTTGCTTAACTGTCATTAGTCAAGAAAACCATGACGATAGCGTATCTTTTCTCATTGATGGTACACGACAAAGAACAAATATAACATGTCTCTGTACTGAAGATGAAAAATGTGATTCAAATACACGAACTTGTCGTTTAACACATGTTGATCATGCTTGTTATGAAAGTTGGACAAAAGAATCTAATGATGATATGATTCATGTTACTGCTGGGTATAAAAATATATATCATTATTTATTTTACGAAATATTTTATTTCTTTAGATGTGTTTATAATGAATTTTTATTTACACAAATTTTCTGTGATGGTAATCAAAGTAATCGATATATTATTTGTTGTTCAGATAAAAATTATTGTAATGATCGTGATGCATATTCAAGTGATATACGAAAGAAATTATTATTACCACTAAGTAATTTTGAAATTATGTAAAAATTATTTATATATTTATATATAATTGTTTTTTTAATTCTTTTGCTTTTTAAGATAAATATAAATCTAATAAATTTTTAATTCGATTAATATTAATAATTATTATTATTTCATCTATTCTTTTATTTTGTTCTTTATTTGTATTTAGTTTATATTATAATAAACGAAAAAAGTATGTATATTGAAAATATTATATCAATAAAATTTTTATTTTCTTATAGAAGAAATTCATCGAATTGTGATAGAACTATTGAATCAAATAAAAAATCAGGTTTATGTATACCAATCTTGACTCGATCAAAACATTCAACAACAAGTGTTAAAAGTGATCAGTGTCCGGACGATATATCAAGAAGTTCAGAGGAATGCAGTTAGTTATTTGAGAATGAAAAAAAGAAGGAAAAATATATTAAAACAAAACCGTTGTTTTGTTTAGATACTCTTTTATTAGAAATAACTAGTTTTGCAAAGCAAGTAATATTAGAAAAACAAATTGGTATTGGTGCTTATGGTATTGTTTATCGTGGTAAATGGTATCAAGATACAATTGCTATAAAAATTTGTTTTTCAAGTGAAGAACCTTCATGGAGACGTGAAGTTTATGTTTATCGAGAATTTCGTTTAAATCATGAAAATGTTCTTCGATATATTGCTGCTGATAGAATAGTAAGAAATTCGAAGAAATAATGATTTACAACTATTTCTCTTCGATAATCTTTTGTTTTTGTCTTTAATTGATTTTCTGTCTAGTCGACAAAGAATTTGACATTATCAATTGATAGATTTAATAATTAAGTAATCATAAGGATTATGACGTGTTTTTTTTTATATTAATATTCGATTAACATCTTTCATTGTTTCTAATATTGAGAATTCTTCGGAGCAATTTGTTCAAAACCAATAGATGCTTGAGTTATTTCTGATATAATGCATAAAGAGAAATATCGTGCTATGAGTCAGAGTGGACTTTTTAGATAGTGATCGACCGATTGAATTTCGCATCTGAGTACCATATTTTTCCAATAATCTTTCGAATCATTTCAAGTTAATAAGTAGCCAAACGAAGATTGACGTTTTCTTTAAGTTTATATTAAAAAAAAGCATTCTATATTATTCATCAAAAGCGATCGTTCGATTAGAATCTTTCTTAAAGATGTCATGCTTGAACGATTTCTATAATAAGAGATATCTTTTTAAGAATGCCGGTTCTTTCTCGAAATATGTGATCGAACTGGTTCATATTCTAATTCATTAAATCATATGCTGATTGCTAGAAATATTAAGGAACAACCAACAATCATCACTAAATATAGATAATCTTAACTAAGCAGTATTATGATGATCGTGTCCGATGGCCAGCTACCGCTGAAAGCGGAACATTCCGGTCATTAGATTCAAACATTGTACTCCTGCTTTCACCTTCCTATCATGTTCCGGACAGAATCGGTCATACATCATTCATTTGAGTACTTAAGTGATAGATTATAGCTACTGTATATAATTAAAAATATAAACTCGGCCAGTAAAAGTCAAGTTTCAAACATTGTGGATGTCTAAAGTTATTTTTCATGTGAAAAGTCTTCCGATCAGAGAAAATTTTTAAAAAAATACTTCCAAAATTTTCAGCTATTGCTATTGATCTCATATATGTCAAATCTGAATGTGCTTAATCTTTCAGAAATACGATAAGAAAATAGTTCATATACAGTAAGTCCCAAAACTATTCAACAAGGTGTAATTTGGATGTTTTTTTTCGTAGCCTTAAGTACTAGAAAGAATCCAAATAGTTAATATTGTTGCCAAGAAGAATTCGAGAAAATGATAACCGTCATGAATTTTCGCCAAAATAAGGTTTCTGAAAAATCAAAACCTTGATTTTTCAACATTCAGAAGTCACAACAGAAAACTTGTTTTAACAGTCTAGAATTATAGAGCAGCCAATTCTCTACAAAATGAGATGTCTCCGAGCTTTCTATGATCTTCCCTTCAAAAATTATAAGCGTCACAAAAATCGAAAAAATGCGTTTTTTAGTCGATTTTCACATAAATTTCACTTTTTTCCGATTTTTGTAACGCTTATAACTTTTGAAGGGTATGTCGTAGAAAGCTCGAACACTTCTCATTTTGTAGAGAATTGACTGTTCTATAATTCTAGACTATTGAAACAAGTTTTCCGTTGCGGTTTCTGAATGTTGAAAAACCAGGCTTTTGGTTTTTCAGAAAATCATATTTTGGCAAAGGTTCATGACGGTTATCATTTT